CACCAGACACGACAACGACTCATGGTCAGCACTCAGCCCAACCTGACCTGACCAGAGTCAGATCAGACGACGATAGTATTTAACGGCAGCGCGCTCCCGCGGTGGCATTGTCTCTGCTCATCTTTCAGGAACAGGCTCCGCGCATGATTACCTGCACAAGGCGCAAACTCATCCAACCGTTTTCACTGCCCAAAACATCCATTCGGCGCTACCCGCCGCCCCTGACCATCGCGGGTTTCAACGTCCGCCATCCTCACTCTAAAGTCCAGGCCCTCACGTTTTTCTCATCGCCACTTAAACGGTAACCACAGCCGCTGCGATCAACGCCCATAATGGCATCCAGCTGGGTCGTCGAGACTGTACGCACCCCGCCCATCCCATAGACAGCTCTCAGTGACCTACCCTCCAGCTAACCACCCTTTCTCTCTCACCTGCAGCCCGACACCTTTGTCGCCAAAAAAGACGAAGTGGCGGCAGAAGCCAAGGACGACCACGAGCTTACCCAGGACGACAGCAAGCTTGCTCGCCCTGGCTTCGGCCTACCCCTCGACTGGCTGCCCGCAAAGGGGCGATTCCCAATCCTCATGTCCCCGCCTAAACCGTCTGTCTACGGCGGCTGGGACAACGGCGACGGCCAAGAGTGGTCTGCCGCCACCCTCCTCATCCGTGAGGCCTGCATGCTCAAGCTCGTCGACGACCTCACCGACAAGCCCGAGTGGTGGCGCAAGATCCGCGACCCAGAAATCGTCGCCAAGTGGAAGGCCGAGGCTTTGGCCATGGACTGGCAGGCGTACCGCCAGTACGCAGACTTTACGCCCAACATGGTGGACGCGGTACGCAACGAAACCCTTCCCCGCGCTGAACGTTGAAGACGCACCGTCTTTTTAGATATTGACTCCTTGTACGTTACTCTGACTGACGCGAGCGCATTCCCAGTGCTTCGACGAGATCCGCCGCAAGGCCGAGCTCTATGAGAAGACCGGTCTCACCCCCGTGTACGACTATACCGTCGCGGCCATCAAGTCGGACAAGCTCATGTCCGAGGACCTACGCCTCGAGCTCATTGCTGGCGTCAAGGCCCTCGAGGACGTTCCCGACGAGAAGAAGGACTGGCATCCAGGCAGCGACGGCAAGGTCCTCGACCTCGTCCACCCGTCTCTCTGGCCGCTCGTCTACGGCCGCACCCGCGTCCTCTCTGACCGCCGCGTCCCTCTGAGCGACTCCCTCGCCTACAGCGGCCTCGGCGACGTGATCCCCGCACCAGACCCTGAGCATAACAAGAGCCGCATCCCCTCACGCCGCTGGGGCCGTGGCGACGACGACGTCAGCGCCTACTCAACGCGGTTCCAGTGGCTGCCGTGCGACGTCTCGCTTGATGGCCAAGGCAATGCCACCATCGACAGCTACATCAACAACCTCCACCCCGTCGAGCACGCCGGCCTGTATCCCATCATCCAGCGCTTCATCCAGGCGTCCCTCCCTGCATGGAACCTGCTCTACACGTGGCCCGACCACCTCTCGTTCCAGCGCCTCACAACCACCCGTGCGGGCCCCATCTGCACAACGCCCGACATCTGCGGGGAGCACTACGAGTGCAGGCCGTCCGCCCGTCCGCTCGGCCCAGAGGAGGAGCCGCGCGAGGAGGACGAGGAGTATGAGGACGACTACGAGACCTCACCGCGCGGTGTCCTCGACCAGCAGTGGTTCAGCGAGACACACGCCATGGATCTGCCCGACGCGTACGTCCCGCCACCCGACGCCGCCGACAAGGAGGACCCCAAGAACCGCGTCTTTCCCGTCACGTCAGACGACGTCAAGACGTCGGGCTTCTTCCACGACGCGCGCCGCGTGCAGGTCATCGTGAAGCTCGCCAACATCCACCTCACGCCCGACAAGCCCACCTACGACGGCGGCTCGTGGCACATCGAGGGCCAGCTCAACGAGCACATCTGTGCCACGGCCCTCTTCTACTACGACTCGGAGAACATCACCACCTCGCGGCTGTCCTTCCGCACGCCCGCCAACTCCGAAGAGCTCTCCACCGATCTCGACTACGCGCAGTCCGATTCCCGCTCCATCCACCGCACCTTCGCCATGCGCCCGGACTCGGAGAGCACCATCCAGGACGTTGGCTCCGTGCTCACGACGCAAGGCCGTGCCGTCTTCTTCCCCAACCTCTACATGCACCGCGTCGAGCCCTTCCGCCTTGCAGACCCCCGGCTGCCGGGCCACCGCAAGATCCTCGCCCTCTTCCTCGTCGACCCGGCCGTGCCCGTCGTGTCCACTGCAAACGTCCCGCCCCAGCAACGCCACTGGTGGAAGGGCGAGGACCACATCCGTCGCAGCTCGCGGCTGCCTCCCGAGCTGACCTCTATGGTCCTCGACAATGTCGACTACTTCGTTGACGAGGATGAGGCAAAGAAGCTGCGCGGCGAGCTCATGGCCGAGCGGACGGCGATGCAGGAAGCCACCGACGGGGCCCTCAACAACATCGAGTTCAACTTTTGCGAGCACTGATTCGGCGACTCTGACTGACACTGAGCTGAAAGCAACATGCCCGTCCATCGCGGCCGTCACGTCGAGGGAGGGAGCATAGCACACATGATGGAAAAAGGCGGCCATTCTATGTAATCCTTATTTTCACTTTTCGTCTCGCGTCACTCGTCAAGCAACCACTTGCCGCGTGGCGAGAAGTGCCCTCCTTTCCTCGTCCGCCCCGTCGTGCTGCTTACTTTCCGTTGACATTGTTGGCCCTCGCCCAATCTCTGCAATCCCCGACGGAGAAAATGCAAACCCAGCCCATCCATGCAAGAGTCAAACAAAAACGTAGGCGCGAAAAGCGTGTTTCCACTCCGAGTCCCCCCCTTCCCGTGCCCCCCTTGGCCCTCGTTCGACCCTGTCAGGCAAACCACGTAAAATCAAGACGCCTTGTCCCCTCCGTCCATGCGCACCTAGCCCCGGACGGCAGCGCCGAGGGCACCGCCGGTGAACTGCGTGCCGCCGGCCTGTCTCTGCGTGTGGCCACCCGCGCCGGCGCCACCCCGGCCCGTGCGGGCACCTCCCCTCTGGCCGCCGCGGCCGCGGCCGCGTCCGCCCTGCCGCTCGAAGGCGTTGCTGGTGCCCTGCGTCCGCTGCTCGAGCGTCCGCTCGTTGCTCTCGATGAGGGCGCTGGCCTTGTCTGAGAGGGTGAGCGCCAGAGACTGCAGACGGCTGAGCTCGACGCCCTTGCGGAAGATGACGTTGGAGGTGACCTGGTCGAGCGACGCGGCCAGCTCCTCGTGGCTGATCATCTTGCTGACGACGGCAGCCACCTTGGTCGCGTCCAGCTCGAACATGCCGCCCAGGGTCTCCAGGGCGAGCGTGTCGTAGAAGGGCGCGTAGGTGAAGAGGTAGGTCCGCAGGCCCTCCTCCTGGATCTGCTTGGCGAGCATGGCCTTGATGTCCTCCGAGTTGGGCATCAGCTCCCAGATCTTGATGCTGTGGATGAAGTTGGTCGACTTCTTCCACTCGCCGGCGGCGAGCGCCTTGGACGCCTGCATGACGTGGTCGCGCGTGTTCTCGGGCGGGCCCGTGAAGATCTGGCGCTCGTGGTACTCGAGCATGCGGCGGTACGTCTTGCTGATGACGCGCTTCTTGACGTCGGGCGACGAGCCCGTCTGCGCCAGCAGGGGGATCTCGAGCAGCATGCTGCACGTCAGGTAGACGCACTCGAGCAGCTCCAGGTTGATGTGCATGTGGAACGGCAGCTGGCGGCTCTTCTCCAGCCTCTCCTGCTCGGGAGAGACCTGGCTGTACCGCTGCATCATGACGCCCTGGGCGAGCAGTTCCTTTTGGCGGCCGCTGCCGCAAATCTCCTGAAGCGTATTCTGGGCATCGTACACCAGGCCCTTGCGGAAGGCGCAAAGGCCGACCTGCACCAAGGTCCTGTTGTAGAGGATCTGGCTCTGGACGTCAAAGTTGGGGATCGTCTCCTGAAGATGGGACATGAGCATCATGTCGCGGGCCTTGTAGTACTCGCCGTGGAGGGCGAGGAAGTAGACCTGGCACAGCATGGCTCGGGCACGGATAATGCCGTCGCTGTTGCTGAAGAGGTAGTTGCACAGGACGTTGACCAGGTTGCCGGCGTCCTGGGCCTGGGCCCGCGTGGTGATGACCGACTCGACCTTGTCGCCGACCGTCTTCCAGCAGTTCTCCTCGAACGTCTTGACGACCTGGGCAGGCTGAAAGGCAGGTTAGTCGACTGGCCAAGAAACATGTATCAAGAGATCTCTTACCTTGAAGTAGACGTGCTCCAGCCGCCGCATGACGATGCGGTTGACGCTGTCCTGGGGGATGTCGAGAGACTCATCCTTGCGCAGGTACTCGTAGTAGAGCATGCCCTTGAAGATGATGTTGTACAGCGCGCCCTCGTCCTGCAGACGGTCGATGTACTCGGAGGTGTGGGGGTCGATGCTCTGCAGGGAGCGGACGAGCTCGTCGTCCAGTCTCTCGACATAGGACACGATGCTGCCGGCGACCTTGATGTACTTCTCGCCAGCCTGCAGCGTCGGGGGCTTCTCATCGTCGTCCCACTCCTCCACGTTCTCGACCACCACGTACTCGTGATCCTTCTCGAGCAGCTCCAGCAGGGCAGACAGCTCCTTCTCAGCCGCCTTCCACTGCTCCAGGGGCATGACGTTGGAGGTGCCGCTGCCCAGGTCGAAGCGGGCGGAGACGAGGGTGAGGAGGACGCGGATCTTCTGGTAGGAGGTGTTGGCAATCTCGTAGAGCTTCTCCATGACCTTGATCTGCTCCAGGCGGTCCGTGTTCTTCTTGCCACGGGACTCCATGATGGTCCGGAGGTGCTTGAAGATGCTCTCGGGGGTGTACTGCAGGGTCCTGCCGCCCTTGCCGACGGTGGCGAAGCCCTCGTCGCCGAGCTCCTCGACGGGAGCGTCCAGCTCCAGCTTGGGCAGCTTCTTGGCCTTGGGGGCGGGGGCCACCTCCTCCTCCTCGTCCGACTCCATGAAGCCGTCCTTGTCCGCCCGGTAGGCGTCGACCTGAGTCTGGTACTCCTTGTTGGTCTTCTTGATCTTCTGCTTGACGGCGTTGAGGGCGCGGGCCTGGGTGGCGTTCATCTTCTTGGGCGTGACCTTTTGCTTCGCGATGGACTCGTTCATAAAGTCCTCCAGCTCGGCGATCGCACGAATGTAGGGCTTGGGCGTCTTGCCACCATCTTGCAGCTTGGTGACTTGGCGGTTGAGCTTGTCGAACTCTGCAAAGGGGGTTCACGGTTAGCGTCCTGTTTTGCCACACGCATCGTGCTGCGCTCATCGAGGGAAAATATCAACACCACATACCGGCAGAGATGAGCGTCCAGTCGCCGTTCTTTTGGCCGTTCTCAATCTTCTTGATCGAGTCCAGCAGCTCCTCCAGCCGCTTGCTGGCGGCACTCCTGACCTTGTCGCGCACTTCGTCATCGCTGTCGTCGCTCTCGGACTCGGCGTCCCTCAAGAATTTGCTGGCGCCCTGCGCCTTGCCGCCCTCCTCGTCGCTGGTCTCCTCCTCGCTCTCCTCCTCGGAGCCCTCGTCGGAGTCCTCGTCGGAGTCGTTCTGGTTGAGATCCTGCTCCTCCTCCTCCTCGGAGTAGAGCTCCTCCTCGTCGCTGGACGAGTCGGTCGAGCTGTCGTCGCCGCCGCGGAAGAATCGAGACATTTTGCCGGTAAATGCGAGGCTGGTCCTTTCGGGGTCTCGAAGGGCAAGGGGATCGATGCGTTTCGCGAGGGTGCGCGGGGTTGGTGATTCGGACGGCTTGTGAGGGAGGGTCGAAAATTGATGATTTTTGGTGGGAGGTGGGGCGTGGGAGTTTGGGGCTTAGCGAAGGTACCTCCGTACCGCCTCTGTGCCTCGAGTCACTCACTTGGCCTCTCCCTCTGTGACTCTGGTCGCGGGCAGGTGCCTGGCCTGGCCTGGCCGGCCCAAAAAAACGGCTTACCTCAGCGGACCTCGCCGCTGGCCACTGAACTCGCGCCTATAGCTGGTTAGCCCAGCGGAAGGACTCGGCTGAAGCTGTACCCTCCTCGGCCGCCGCATCTTTTGCTCGTCGATTTCTCAGCAGCAAAAGCACTCACCTCGACCCATGGCATACTCGGCCACCTCGACAACATGACGCCTCTCCGCTGTGCCAACGGCACCTCTGCCGCGCGATCCTTTGTGCAGATAGCCAGTCGCGGCTATTCGACAAGCACAGTATACGCCACCGCGCCCCTCGACTTCCTCGTCCCTCGTGGCGCTGCCCTCGTCCGCGGGCGGATAGACAGCGCTCTCCCAAGGGCATTGTGCTTGAGACCACGGTCACCCACATTCTCGCCTCTGCCGGCTCCGATACAGCGCTCCCAGATTAGAAACTTTTCTGCCTCTGTTATCCACAATGCAACGACCTGTGTCCTCAATCCGCAAAAGGACGAGGATGGCAACGACATGATGCTGGAAATCACCCCGCGGGCAGCCAAGGTATGTACCAACTTGACGGCGGCACGCTGTCATAAAGGCGAACCTCCCTGCTAACTCAACCCAGCGTCTGTCTGATATCATGAAGAAGGACGACAACCCCAACCTCGCGTTGCGCATCCAGGTCGAGAGCGGCGGCTGCCACGGCTTCCAATACCTCATGAGCCTCGTCACCATACCGACCGAGGGCGCCGAGGAATGGTCCTCCGTCGTCAACGAGGACGACAGCATTTTCCAGTACACGCCGGACGAAGCTGAGTCGATGCCGAGCGCCAATAGTGCAAGGATAATACTTGACGAGCCGTCTCTCGACTTGCTAAAGGGGAGCAAGGTTGACTTCACGACGGAATTGATCGGGTCGCAATTCAAGATTGTCGACAACCCGTACGCAACGAGCAGTTGCGGCTGCGGCACGAGCTTCGATATCAAGATGTAGCGTGGCCTGGGCCTACGACAAACCTCCACTCATATGGGAGTCCATTGATGTACACTACTTCATCCTACACACCCGTACCTTCGCCGAGCCGTTGCATGTCCACCAGCGACATCATCATAAATGTACGAGACCATTGGGAGGGACTTCACGCTTTTATACTGCATAGACAAACAAGCATTGTCACGGGACCGTCACATGATGGAAGCTCTTATCATTCAAGGAATCAATTTACCACAAAGCCGTGTCGTGATACCAACGCCGAGCAACCATGCATTTTTAAACCATCCCAGCCAACCGGACCCTACAGCCAACCAGAGACCTAATCTAGTTCATCTGGCGGATGAGGGCGTTGATGGCCTCCTCGCGGTTGCCAAGGTCACCACCCTCGATGAAGTGCTTGAACTTGCGGGTGCGGAAGCCGCCAGTGGGGTTGCTGAGCTTGAAGGGCCACAGGAAGTTGGCGGCCTGCTTGAAGTTGGGGCCGACGGTGAAGATCTCGTGGATGAGGTCCTCCATGCAGACGATGCCGTACTTGCCGAGGTTCTCCTCGATGATGGAGTTGTCGGTCAGGGCGACGCGCTGCTTGTTGACCTTGCCGTAGCCGCGCTTGTAGACGAGCTCCTTGACGGACTTCAGGTTGGGGTAGCCGTAGGCGATCCAGGGCTCGACGATCTTGAGCATCTCAGTGGTGGCCTTGGTGACCTTGATGAAGACGCCGTTGTTGATCTGGAGGAGACGGAGGAGCTGGAGGATCTTGCGGGGCTTGGGGGGCATCTTGTTGATACTGCGAAGAGTCAGTCACTGTTGGATTCAGGCGCAGTGGATGAAGCGGCTTACCCCTTGATGCGGACGACGAAGATCAGCTTGGCCTCAGCAGGGATGTAGGCCGAGTCGTTCTTCTTGGCAACGCGGGCCAGGCGGATCTTCTCGCGCTCGGCATCGCGGTACTCGGTGACGTACTTCTCAGCACGCTTGAAGATGACACCACGCTTCTCCTTGTTGGACTGTTACGTCTTGTTAGCGGGTTGGTCCCGGAAAAGACGAGTGTGGAAACGTGGGTTGTCCAGGCATGTCAGACCCGAAAGAAGGTTAACATTCAACAGCATCGACTTGATGTCTAGTTGAAGGGGTATGTTTTGCATCACTATGCCGCGAAGGGTTCGGAGGGCATCCACGTACGGTCTTCTTCTTCTCCTGAGCAGCGGTGCGCTCGGCGCGAGCCTTCTCCTGGCTCTTGCGCTTCTTGAGCAGGGTCTCAGGGACCAGGATCTGCTCGTTGGTAGGGACGGTACTGCAGGGCAAAGTCAGATTAGTACGGGTCCGGCATACCGTGGTATGGAACAGAGCGCCGGTGCGAGAACTGTAGCTGTAGCGCGACATTCTCTGCTTTGGCTGACTCGAGATGGTTTTGATCGGTGAGCCGGGAGACAATGGTTCGCAATCTCTTGCACCGATTGTGACTCCCTCCAATTGCTCATCCGACAACGACCCCGGACAAATGTCCAGGAGGGAAGAGTTGCAGGCTGATTCCATGAGGCATTCTCAGCCAGACTGGAAGTGCGCCGAAGCAACAATGAATTTGAGAGAGAAGGCATTTCAATCCTTCATCTCCAACACCCCAAGCGCCGTCTCTCTCCCGCCAGGCAAACCATGCCTGGACAGAAGAGGGAGACGCTCAGGAGAGATCGAGCTGGCAGAACTTGCGGCGTCGAGAACGATTTCGAGCCGCCTGCCCAGCGAGAGGACCACGAACAATCTGCAAACGATGTTTTTCGTATTCTCGATACCGGGCGCCGCTGCCCATGATCGCACGCGTGCTTTCAGGGAGGGGGGACATACGTGGCACCCATTTTGACGACGGCTGTGGTTGATGTCGGTGGTTAGTATAGGCGGTGGTGGAGGGTGGTGAGGAAACTGGCGATGGGCCTTTTTTCTTTCTTTCCCTTGGGCGGAGAGTGGAGAGTGGTGGAGCACCCCGTGCAAATTGCAGGTAGGGTAGGGCTTTATTTTTTCCCGCCCACAGCCAAAATTTTCCTGCTTCGCCCTTTTTCTGCCGTGCCCCACCGCCCTGATCCGCCCGCCACTAATCCACCACCAAAGCCCAGCCCACCACGATATTTCCTACCGAAAGCGAGAGATTCTGCATTTCCAACGCCCAGGAACCAGACGTCGCCAAATCCTCCAAAATGCCCCCCAAGAAGGTCGCTGCCCCCAAGGAGAACATCTCCTTGGGCCCCTCTGTCCGCGATGGTATGTTGATGCCGAAAATTTGGGGGAACCATGCTTGAGGAAGCCCGGCCGTGACTGACCGTCTTTTGCACAGGCGAGCTCGTCTTCGGCGTTGCCCGCATCTTCGCCTCCTTCAACGATACCTTCGTCCACATCACCGATCTCAGGTTCGTCCTGCCTCTCCGCTAGCGAATTCGCCACTCAACGGGCGTCGAAACGCTGCAATTCGCCCTCGAACTTGAAAGGGAGCCGCGTTGCTAACACGAACCGTGCAGCGGTCGCGAGACCATCACCCGTGTCACCGGTGGCATGAAGGTCAAGGCCGATCGTGACGAGTCCTCCCCCTACGCTGCCATGTTGGCTGCCCAGGACGTCGCCGCCCGCTGCAAGGAGCTGGGCATCAACGCTCTGCACATCAAGATCCGCGCCACTGGTGGTATGTTTTGAATCCGCGCCGCGCGACACGCGAGCAGCCATACATGGGACAGAAGACTGACAAAGCTGCAGGCAACGGCACCAAGACCCCCGGCCCCGGTGCCCAGTCTGCCCTCCGTGCCCTGGCCCGTGCCGGCATGAAGATCGGCCGCATCGAGGACGTCACCCCCACGCCCTCCGACTCTACCCGCAGAAAGGGTGGTCGCCGTGGTCGCCGTCTCTGAGCGCTCGGCGCTTGGTTTTGGTGTCACTGGACAGGGAGTGTCGGCTATCTGGTTTCTCTGTGGCGTTGCGAAAAACGAGGGGAACGGCATTTTACGCCTGGTCTCCATTCTCCGCTGCTCCGCCGCCTCTAGCTCTCGCTGGATGGCCTGGCGTTGCGCAGGTAGATAGATATGAATTCGCCCGAAAGGCCTATAACAGTACTCCTTGTTCAGACGCCAAAGTCCCCATGTGAAATGTTCTCGCACTGGTTGTCACGGTGTAGCGTAAAGGACGCGACGGTCGTAAGCTTCATCTATTCGGTATCTACCTGATCCGTACTCCACGCTATGGAAATGCAGAATCACGTCTAGACTGTGACACCTCTCTCGCCGGATTACTTGAATCCAGGCTTGAGCGTCCACATGCCTCTTCCCGCGCCGCTCGCCTTGCTCATGATGGCCACTCGGTTCAGTGCCGTCTTGAACTCGTCGCTCTGCTTCTGTCCAGGGCAGTACGGATTGAAGTGGTCAACGAGCATCTTGCTCGGTACCCGTCCGCCATGCCTGTTGATGAACGTCTTGATCATGGCCACAAAGTCCTTGGCCTTCAAGTTACGTTCCACGCCAGGTGTACCCGAGCGGGAGCTGCTGCCGCTTCCACCAGCGACGCCATCAGCGAGGCCTTGCCGATCCGCGAGGTTGCTCATGATGCCCGCCGAGCTCGGACCTCCGCGACGACGGTTGGCACCCGGACGACCGCCAGTGCCGACCTCACCCGTCCAGGTAACAGTACCGATGGGCACGCGCCGGGCCTCCTGGGCAGCCTGCCGGAGATGCGCTGCCGCCTGGCGGGCAACCTGGTTGGCTTCCTGCCGGAGGACTTTGATATCTGCCTTTGGCTTCTGGGGGCCGTTGACGATTTGCTCATGGTCGTATGCGCTGTTCACCGAACGCGCAAAGATGCCTTCGAGCATGCGCCGCTCGTCGTGGGCAGACTTGTCTTCCTTGTACTCCTCCATTCCGGCGACAATATTCATGTGCTCGAGCTCTTGCTGTTCCTCATCGCTTGCTTTGTCTCCTTTACTGCTCTCCCTATTCTTTCTATTCGCGCCATCTGCATTGCCAATGTCAACCTCAGCGCCCTTGAATACCTCGCTTCGCTGCAAAGCTGGGTCATCGCCAGGGTTATAGCTGAACAAGTCGTACAGATCCGACAGGTCGTACGAGCTCCGCTGCTTCGGATCTTTCAGGACTTTGTTGGTCATGAACTGCTTGAAGATCTGCCGGTGGTAAATCTTTTCTTCGATGGTGCCTTCGGTCATGAGGCGGTAGATCTTGACGGGCTTGCTCTGTCCCAGACGCCACGCACGCTCTCTCGCCTGCAAATCGGTTGACGGGTTCCAATCCGGGTCGAAAATTATGATCCGGTCCGCGCCGGTGAGGTTCGTACCAAGCCCTCCAGTGCGAGTCGTCATGAGGAAGACATGAATGTTGGGGTCGGTGTTGAATTTGTCAATCATGGGCTGCCGCTGGTCCACCGGTGTCTCTCCATCCATGCGGACATAGGTGATGCCGCACTCCCTGATGCACTTCTCAATAATGTTGAGCATTAGCTTGCCCTGGGAGAAGAGCAGCATCTTGTGGCCGTTGGGGATCATGACTTTTTGAAGCAGATCCTTGGTCAGCTGCAGCTTGGCCGAAAGCTTGGGACTGCCAAACGGGTAGCCAGCCTTATTCTTCAGACTCTTGTCCAGCAAATCAGGATGGTTGCAAATCTTGCGCAAAATGTCGATGCCGTACAGCGACTGCCGTCTCCTATTTAGGATAGCCGCAACCTCATCAGACTTGAGAAACGTCTCGTACGCCTTCCGTTGACCGTCCGTCAGCTTGCAGAAGAGCACCTGCTCCGTCTTCTCCGGCAGGTCTGCAGCAACGTCTACCTTCAGCCGCTGTAAGAGGTACTCGCTGATGGTCTCCTTCAAGGCCTCGGCGCATTTTTCAGCTGTCATGACCTGAAGGTTCGACGCATTCGCGTACCCGCCTTGTCGTATGGGTATCTCGAACTGCGTGCGAAAGTTGACGAGGGTCCCCAGCCGCATGGGGTAGATGAAGTCGAAGAGTGACCACAGTTCCGTCAAGTTGTTTTGTACGGGCGTACCGGACAGGATGACTCGATTCGGTGTGCTGAGCTCCTTGCACGTCACCGTGATCTCGGCGTTGGGGTTTCGAATCTTGTGTCCTTCGTCGAGCACTGCGTACTCCCATTCGATCGGGAGCAACTCTTCGGCGTACGTCTGCAGGCCAGTGTAGGTCGTGACAAGCACATGACCCTTGTTCACAACGTTTTTCACGATGCGCCTCGCCGCGCCCTGAGACTTTGTCGCGACTGGCCGATAATGCTCCACGTCGTACTCGTCTTCGAACCTGGCGTTCATCATGCCACTGCCAGACGAGTGCAGAATCGAAACCCGCAGCGGTGGCCACCAACGATGAAACTCGCTCACCCACTGCCGAAGCAGGGTGGCTGGAGCGACAATGATGACCGGTTTGCTGAGCTTCTTGCTGTAGTGGAGCGCTGCGATGAATGCAATCAGCTGTACCGTCTTGCCGAGACCCATCTCGTCGCCAATGATTCCGCCGACGCTCTGCTTGTAGAGTTCGGCAAGCCACTGGACACCAGTCTTCTGGTATCCAAACAGCGAAGGATGGATGTCGCCGGGCATCTTCAGACCATCGTCGAAGACGTGGTCGGCATGGTCGGGGGAGGGTTTAAACCACTCCTCTTCGTCGTCGCTATCAGCTACCGCATCGTCGCCTCCGGCCTGCTGGCGCCTTGCCCTCCTGGCCCGGCTTCGTCGAGAAACCCAGTCCTTGAGTCGCCTCTGGTAATGCGCTTCGTTGCCGTCATCGATCTTGCTAAGATCAATTTGCTCTTGCTCCAGCGCTTTAGCCTTGGCCGCGCGCTTCCGCTGCTCATTTCGCACCAGGTCGTCCTCGGTTCTCTGCTGCCAGATGGCAGCATCGGCGGACTCGGAGTCTGAAGACTCTTCAGGCTGAAAATCTGCCGATGGGCTACGGTCTCTCTCGACTCGTCGCTTCTTCCGGGGTCGAAGAGAGAATTCGCTTTGCGCTGCGGAAGGCGAGGGACGCTTCTTCTCAACCTCCGTTTCGTCCTCGAAGCCCGGACGCCTCAGCAGCTGATGCGACGTTGGCCCTTCGACATCTTGGTCGTATTGCTCCGCGGCAGCCTCCTCCTCGGCATCGAGAATGGTATCAGCCAGTTGTCCCTCCAAGCCCTCGGGGCGGGTGCCACCAATCTTGGCAAAGGGCGTGATCTTGCCGGTTCGGATGAGGAATTCGCGATGGCTCTCGCCAGGCAGCCTCTTAGACTTGGTATGGTTTGTCGACTCGAGCGGATCCTCCTGATGTCGTTTGTCTATGCGGGCCTGGAAGTCGGAGATGTCGCTAGTGACGTGGCGAAGCTCTTCTTCAATTCTGGCGATTTCCTTCTGGACGTTGCGTGACTGGTACGGGTTTCCCGCAACCTTCTCCAGTCTCTTCTTCTCCTTGTCGAGCTGAAGCTGCAAGCGCTGCCGCGATCCATCTAGTTTGACGATACGGTTCTGGTCCTTTTTGTCCTCTGCCTCCATGAGCGCCGCGTTGGCTTGTATGGTGATGTCACGCTCGAGGTCGTCCTGGTCCCTCACAGCACCGGTGAGATTGCGCAGCGCATCTTCCTCGGTCATAGTGGCCGGCTCGGACTCGTCTGGCGTACCGCTTTCTCCGTCTGCAGTATTCTGAGCAGCGGTAACCATCTTGTCGACCAAGGCGGCGCGACCCTCGCCGGGGCTGTTCTCTTGCTGTTCCTGATCAGATGCCATGCTGCTCAAGCTCGATGCTCCAGGACGTTGAGAGAAGGTTTGACAAGATGAGGTTTGCCTCTCCGATAAACGTCTGTTCGCAGACGAGCATTCACTGGGCCACGCCTTGTTGCATCTCGGTTGGAATGTCGTCGGGTGCTGTTCTACGCGGCGACGCAGCGTCACACGCTGTTCACGTTGCCCATGCGGCCAGGAGGTGACGGCAGTGCCAGCGGCAGTAAACTCAAACGGAAGGTCGCTTGAAATGAGGGCAAAATTTGACCGTGGTCTATGGGTGATCCCGTGGGCTCCGTGCCGTGATGCGACTCGGCAAGTGGCGAGGGAGAGTGAAGGAAAAGGTGCCCGACGATTCTTTGTCGTGACTTTCACAGCAGAAGTGACTGCCTAAGAAGCCCGGCAATGACGATGATAAATGGGGCAAAGAGTGGCAAAGCGCACGCTGTGATTGGCTTGCTGACAATAGGTGCGACCAAAGTGACCCACTCTTGCGATGACTTCACTCCAACAATCTCGCCTACCCGGCACCCTGGCTTGACATGAACGGCCTGTTACGACCAAGTGAACCCGGCATCAACGGCTTTTTCAATTTTGAGGGCTACATGTTATTGAATCTTCTCGCTTGGCGATATTTGCAGCGATGTGCGCAGTGATGTATGGGCCAGCTACCATTTACACCCACACCCTCCCCTGACACAACAATCCCTTGACATTAGTAGGTCTGGACTATGGAGTTGACTTGCCTCCTTCGCCGTGAAGATATCAGCAGCATCATGCAACGATGAGGCGTTTTCACGACGCAAGATTAGCCAACGCGGGGAAGGATAGTGGGCTTGTCCAAGTCCTTCAGATCGCCGTCGTACCGTTTGATGCGCTTCTTGAAGACGCTTGCCTGGTCATCGAGTCCTATGGCCGTGGCAAAGTTTATCCAGCCCATGCGCACGTCTCGCGTCGCCAGCTCATAGATCTCGCAGAGCTTCGCCGCGTACTCGGCATCGGGTGCCGCGGCGATCGCGAAAAGCCGCCGCACTACGTTGACCCAGCAGGAGATGTAGTCCACGTCGAAGCTCGATTCCGGGTAGCGGAACTCGAGGGTGCCAAACTTGGACGTGGCAAGCGTGCATTTGCCGCCGTCTCCGCCGCCGGCCTTTGGGACGCGCAGCCTCTCCCCAAGGCTCTTACAATCGTGCTCCGAGAGAATGGAACAGACAGCCTGGAAGGTGCGCTGCTCGTCCTCGCAGCGACCCTTTGCCTTGTCAAGCATTCGGCGGAGCTCAATCACCTCCTCCAGGTAAGGCGCGCTCAAACCGACAGACGGTGCAGGATTCTTGGCTATGTCAGAGTCTGAGCTTATGAGCCGCGCGTGCGCTGCCTTGGAGCGACCGGCATGGCACAGTTGGAGCAGCAATGGGCGCTCCAACAAGAATACCAGGGCAGCCAGGCGCCGGGCCACGACAATGTCCAGCTCTGCGTCCAGCGGGCTCACGTGGATGTGAAGGCCGCACTCGGAGTTGAGCCAGACCTTGACATCGTTTTGAATGCTGGCGAGCGCCTTTCTGAGCGTGGGCAGGCCACCGTCGAGCTCTTCCTGGTCGGCGAGGATCGGGCTCGTGATCTCTGCGGAATACCAGCGATAGCCGGCAGGAACAGTGATGGCGCGTTCATTGACGGCGCTTACGATGCTTGCTTCATGGGTTACAAACCAGTAGTTGAACTGTTCCTCCTTGCCGCCGGTGCCAGCCGAGACTGGGTTCCAGATACGAAGCTGCCTCTTGCCGCCCACAGCGACGACCTTGTCTGGCAGGTCGGAGTGGTCGGGGTCGTCCACGACGGCGTCCGCGTCACCTATGCGAGCCGTGGGCAGGCCGATACTGGCGAGCACGGCGCAAACGGCCTTCTGGCAAGCCTTGTTGCCATAAATGTCATTTTCACTCACCAAAAGAGTTCTGCCATCGGGCCAGCGGTCATCCTTGGGCTTGCTTCGCTTGATCTCCAGGTCGTGGAAAGCCACCATGAATTCTAGCTCGATCCCGATCCGACAAGGCGACATGGAGTTTGTTTGGCGCGTGCGAGAGGAAGTGAGTGATTGGAATATAGAGAGTGTTTTTGTTTCAATGCAATGATGCTGTGAAGTGCGAGCGACTACGTGGTTGTGAACGGGAACCCATCGCAGCCGCGACAGCTTTATAGAACACATGTTTGCCATGGCAGTGACGCGGTCATGAGAGACGACGGAATAAAGGAGGAAAGGCAAGCGAGCTCATATCATCTTGCGTATGACCAGTAGTGGGCAAACCGCGACGAAAGCGAGGAGTGATTCACCCTCGCCTTGCGCCGGCCTCCTGCCAGGTGCGACTTTGGACCATATTAGCTTCAACTCATACCGCCTAAAGCAATCTCCGGTGAGAGTCGGCTCTAGATGTCAGTCTCGGCAAGGTAGTGGGCGAAATGCAAGCGTTAAACAGGTGTAACGGCGAAACGTGCTGTCACCTGGACATGGAGGTGACGTAGCGGACCGCGAGCCTCTCCAAGGGCAGCTCGTCCACGACAACCCGGCTGCTAGCATGAAGAAAGCGCTAGAAATGAGAATCACAAGCACACCGAAGAGTGGTACGGACGCTCTGGCAACGGCATGGGACATGGGACGAGGCGGGTAGGCTGGCATGAGTGTGACACGCTCGCTGTGTCTGTCCGATGACAGTCGCGCAGCGCAATCTCTACACCGCTGTGGAAAGATGAGCTCTGTAATCATCGAGCCCGTAGAATTGGGCGCGGTATCATCTGAAGAGGCGGGCGACTGGCATAATCATCACACTTGAATCGGCTCGTCGTGGTGTTGTCGTGATGTGGCGGCGTGGGTTCGAGCTGGGAGTCTGAGCTACCCCTCGGCCGTCGGCGGTCGGCCGGAGCATCTTCTCTGCCATGGCAAGAAGTGCAAGGGCGCCATGATAGGAGGTCAATGCAGTCGAGCTGGGGCGTTGGAAAGCGTCCATCCGGTTGGCATTGGCATTGGCATTGGCATTGGCATGGGCCAGGAGGTTCCTTTGTTCGCCGTTGGTGAGGGATCGGTCCTCCCCTCCCTGCCTGGGTTAGGGGTCTTCGATATTTAGGCGACAGCGCAGCTGCGGCACTCGCCAGGCCAATCAGGACCCGGCTCGCGCGCCCTGACCTGCCGTCGGCGTCCCCTGGCAGCCGCAACGGTAGCGGCAGCTGCTGGCCCGGGGACCTCCAGGGCTGCTGCGGGACCACCTGCGGGCGGCAGTCTGGGCTCGGGCTGTAGCTCGTCAGGGCGCGGCCTGGAGTGGTGCCGTGGCAATTAAAACCACCTGCGCCCGCAGCAGCACCAGAAGCACGCGGTGCGCGCGACATGGTATCGCGTCTCGTCCGGCCCACCCAAAATTGACAGCACCAAGCAGCTCCCATCATCATCGCCAGCTTCATCACCAGCCGTCGACACCACCACCACCGTCCCATGAAGCACCGGCCCGCACCGCCGCCGCCGCCGCCCTCGTCCCCGAGATGCACATCATCAAGCCCTCGTGGCTGAGCCACAGCGGCGAGCAAAAGGACTTTGAGGTGTACAGCTGCCACGTCTCCCCCGATGGCAAGCGCCTGGCCACGGCCGGCGGCGACGGCCATGTGCGCATCTGGTCCACCGAGTCCATCTCCAGCGCCAACGACCCTTCCTACACCAAGCCGCGACAGCTCTGCCACATGAGCCATCACCTCGGCACCATCCACTCCGTGCGCTTCTCCCCCAATGGCCGCTACCTCGCCAGCGGCGCCGACGACAAGCTCATCTGCGTCTACCACCTCGACAAGTCGGCCCCCGCCACCACTGCTGCCTTTGGCACCAACGAGCCGCCCCCCGTCGAGAATTGGAAGACGTACAAGCGGCTGATCGGCCACGAGAACGATGTCCAAGACCTGGCCTGGTCCCCCGATTCGTCGCTCCTCGTCTCCGTCGGCCTCGATTCCAAAGTCGTCGTCTGGTCCGGCCACACTTTTGAGAAGCTCAAGTCGATCCCCGCACACCAGAGCCACGTCAAAGGCATCACATTCGACCCGGCCAACAAGTTCTTTGCGACAGCAAGCGACGACCGCACCATCAAGATCTTTCGATTCACCCCGCCCGCCCCCAACGCGACGCAACATGACATGGTAAACAACTTTGTCCTCGAGGCTACCATCAGCTCGCCATTCAAGAGCTCCCCGCTCACCACATACTTTCGGCGATGCTCTTGGTCGCCCGACGGGAACCACATTGCTGCTGCTAACGCGGTCAACGGCCCTGTCAGCTCCGTCGCAATAATAGAGCGCACGCGGTGGGACAGCGAAATCAACCTAATCGGACACGAGGCACCCACCGAAGTCTGCATGTTCTCTCCCCGACTCTTTCACACGGTTAAGCCGGAGCAGAACGGCGTGACTAATGGCCACGGCGGCCAGCTTGTCACTGTCATTGCTTCCGCCGGCCAGGACAAGACGCTAAGCATATGGAACACCAACACTTCTCGTCCCGTGGTCATCCTGCAGGACTTGACGGGAAAGTCTATAGTCGACCTCGCGTGGACGCCGGACGGCCAGTCCTTATACGCCTGCAGCCTGGACGGAGGCATCGTGGCCGTCAAGTTTGACGAAGGTGAGCTCGGCTGGGTAGCGCAGACAGAGGAAAACGTCAAGGCGCTGCAAAAGTACGGCGCCTCGAGAAAGGGCATGGGAATCGCCGAGGACGTCGATGGCCTGATGCTCGAGTCACACAGCAAGGCCGGTGAATCGAGAGCGGTCGAGTCGAGGATGGGCGCGTTAATGGGAGACTTCCAGTCTGACACCAAAGAATCGACCCCCGCGACGAACGGCAATAAATCGGGCACCTCCTCTGCCAAACCCGCACCGGCGGCCAACGGCGACGGCGACACGGAAAAGCCAGCGGAGGAAGGCGCGGACAAGACTGCAGAACGCGTCAAGGAGCTCAAGTCGCGGGTCACGGTTGGCAAGGACGGCAAGAAGAGAGTTGCCCCGCTGCTTGTCTCGTCTTCAGGCACGGGCGAGTCATCATTACCACAGACGCAGCTGGTGGGCTCCACGACTCACAAGGCGGCACAAAACGACGCGCCACAAACGGTTCTCGACATGACAAAGCCGTTTGACGGGCTGCCCACGGGTGGCATCACGTCCATGCTGCTCGGTAACAAGCGGAAGGCCGCCGTAGGCGACGGCGAGGAAGAGGAAGAGGTGACGTCCAAGCGTGCGGCGACGGGACCGACGCCCATCGTCACCGACGGCCCCAATGGTGTCGAGCCCGCGGCGCTCACGTCTATCCGGAACGGAGTCGTTCCGACGCCAGAGTTCCTGCGTCCGGCTGTTCTGAATCCAGCCATATCCTTTGCTCAAGTCCGACTGGCCGTTCCCAAAATCAGATCCCACATCCTTCGACCCCTTGATCGTGGCGTCCTGCAACCCGACACGTCCCTAGACGATGCATCGAAGAGTCCCGAAAACATCATCATGGAGGCCAAGAACGACCCCAGCCCCCGAGATCCGTCACACGTTCTCGTCACGAAACGGGGCGCGCTGGTGTGGCAGGAGTGGCTGCCGAGGGCCATCATCCTGGTAACCGCCAACAAGAACTTCTGGGCCGTGGCTTGCGAGGACGGATCGATACACGTATGGAGTCCCGCCGGACGACGACTACTCAACCCCATCATTCTCGAGTCGCAACCCGTCATTCTAGAATGTCGCAAGCACTGGCTGCTCTGCATCACCGCCGTTGGCCTGGCACACGTCTGGGACCTCAAGACGCAGTCTGCGCCCAGCCCGCCAGTATCTCTAGGCCCCATCCTCGACATTGCATCGACATCTCTAAACCAACATAGCGCCACGCAAGGCCCTGGAGTGACTTCGGCTCACCTCAACTCGACAGGCCACATTATCGTTACGCTGACCAACGGCGACGGTTTCTACTACGCCAGGGAGATGTACACCTGGCAGCGTCTGAGTGAGGCCTGGTGGGCTGTGGGCTCGCAATACTGGAACTCGAACGACTCGTCAATCTCGGCACTCCAGTCAACTGCCGTTGGTCCTGCTGAAGGCAAGGCCAAGGAAGCAGACGTCGCGACGGTGTCGTCTGGGATCATTCCGTTCCTGGAGCGACACACGACCAACGAGTTCCTGCTCAAGGGACGGGCTTACGCTCTTCAGCGCATCATCAAGACGGTCATCCAGCGGAAGGAGGCGGAGGAGCTCGAAAGCACCATCAGCATCGCGCACCTGGAGAACCGCGTTGCCGGCGCGATGCAGCTGGGGGCAAAGGAAGAGTTCCGGCTGTACCTGTACATGTACGCCAAACGACTCGGAGCAGAGGGTACGCGAACCAAGGTGGAGGAGCTGCTCAACAGCCTAATGGGAGGCATCCTCCAAGACAAGGCGGACGACAAGGAGCAGGGGCGAGGCTGGTACAGCAAGGGCGACGAGATTTGCGGCTGGGACCGCAAAGAGTTGCTCAAGGGGGTGGTTCTGATTCTCGGTATGTCGCTCACTGCTTCACCTAGTCTTTTCTACGCTGACCTCAGGATTAGGCAAATTCCGCGAGCTGCAGCGATTGACTTCGCAGTACGCAAGGGTGCTGGAACTTGACCTAGAGGACGGCACCGTCGACGTCGACTCCATGGACGTCGAAGCGTAATTACGCACTTCGGGCGGGCGGCCACAGCACGGCTTGACACTGACAGGCAAGCCATGAATGTATTGTAGTGTTTTGTAGACGGGGAATGGGTTCGGATCTGCGCGTGACGGCGGTCGTCTGGCGTTTGGGACGTGAATGAGGCTCTGGCGCAGCGGTGACTACGCCTTTCTGGTTGGCGGGAGGCCTTGATCAGGGGCCGGCGAGGTTCTCGGCGACACACAAACACTGGTTCATGTTACATACCTTTTACATTGTCGTTTCTGCTTTGCAGTATATGATGAGAGCCATGGCTTTTGCGCTGCTGACGGGAGCGAGTGAGCGGTGAGATCAGGCTTGAACAAATGTCGTGTCGTCCGGTGCTGCGGTGTCAGAATGGCCTGGAACGTCCACGGCGATGGGCCAGAGCGCTCTGTTCCGATCTTGAGAGAATCTGCCTACAATCATCAGAACGCGAGCCGTCGAGACTTGTTCGCGCACGCGTCGCCCGTCCTGGGTAGGGCTGTTGACCTGATTGCTCTCTGGCTGGCCCTGCTCCTTCCTCCCACCTGTTCCCAACACGTGCCTCCCTGCCCACCTCCGTTCATCTCCCTCCCCGTCCAGCGTGGCAGAATTCTCCTCTTCCATCCGCTCACCCTCTTCCCGTTCTCTTCTTCTCCATACCTCGACCTCTTGTTTCGAAATCTTCTTGTGCTCATTGACTGCCTGCAACATCAGTGACCACAGCTCGTTGGACCTCTCTTCTCCTGCACCACCAATCATTCAATTCACTTCTCCGAATTTCCGTTGATTTGACATCAACAGCTTGCATTGCCGTCCTTTCGCGCTCTCGAGAGAGTCTCGCCCCAGTATCTACGGCGCCGCTCCTTTCGCCGTCTGCTTCTCTGCTTCTACAACGCCCCTTGACGCCCCTGGACGCCCTCTTTCCTTTGGCCAGGCGGCAGCATGACGGGCGGAGCACTTGGCCGACCTTCTTTTGTCAATTTCCGACTTTCGGTCTCGGCCTGGCTCTGTTTCTGGATCCAGCTGCTGCTGTTCGCCATCACCACGGCCGCCGAATGGCTCCCCTCTGAGAACCCCCCTCGCGCCGTCTTTGTTGCATTGGCACACGAACAGGACCTCGAGCCGGTCCTGTCCTCGATTTACCATCTCGAAGACACGTTCAACAACCGCTACCGCTATGGCTGGGTCTTCTTCAGCACTACCCCATTGAGCGACGAATTCCGCAGACGGACGTCGAACGCCACCGCCGCCGTTTGCATGTACGAGGTCGTCCAGGACGACGACCTAAAGGACCCGGGCCGTGCCCCTGACGCTCTGCTTGAAGCTCAGTCCGCTGGATAGGATCACGGACTAGCTGTCAGCAACGGCGACGATAAACGAGACGCGGCCCTCCCCGGCCGACTTCGCCACTGGAAGGCGGGCCGCTTTGCCAACGAGAAGCGCCTCAGGGACTACGACTGGTTCTGGAGAATTGAGCCAGGCGTAAGCTTTGCCCTCGGTGCCTCTGGCTCTGATGCGTCACAAGTCTAGAGGCTAACGGCACCTGTCATACAGGTTCAGTTCGTGCACGACCTCCCGTTTGACATTTTTCGCCTCATGAGAGATCATGGAATTGCTTACGGTTCCAGCAAGACTGGACCCGACGATGGTCACGTCCATGTCACCTCTCCACACGTACACGCGTTCATTGAAGATACAATTAGCCGCTCCCATCCCGAAGCCGGTATGCCTTGGCTTTTGGACGCCATGTGCCACCAAGATGATCTTGCCGAGGGTGGTGAGGCGGGGTGCGTCGAGCAGGTGAACGGACACCTGTGGGAGACTGTCGTGGAAGCCTTGCCTGACAGTGTCGAAGGCATCACTAGCATGCCTGTGTTGGGTGATGAGCGCCTGGACGGCGCAGACATGTCCGAGACGAGCTGTCCCTTTGAGGCGATGACATTGTGGCTGTCTGGTCTGTACAAGGGTAGACTCACGCCAGCTTTTGAAATTGGATCTCTGGCCTTTTTGCGTAGTCAAGGTCACCAGGCTCTTCTCGAGCATCTGGATAAGGCCGGCGGCCTTTACTCTGGAGGACCACACGAAGCGTCGACGCCGACCATCAGCGCCAAGATCTTTTTGCCCCAAAAGAGCGTGCTGCGCCTTCGCAAACGAGAGCGGCGATGCCCGAGTCCGCCTGACGCGACGCCCGAGCCTGATCTTGACCTCGACCTGTTTGCTCTAGGCGGCGGTTCTGGCACCGCTGCCAAACGCGTAGCTAGCCGGGCGCAGCAGCGCGGAGCCAAGGACCCGGGTGAGACCATGGCTGGCTTGTTTGCTTTTTGGGAGCTTGTGGTGCAGGACTTTGGCAGGCAAGGCGGTATGCCGGGCCTCCGATCGGGAAACACGGTCATTGACGAGCGCAACTTTGTTCTTGGGCAGTGGAAGTGAGAAATTGGCCGTCGCATTTTTGGCAGAGAGCAAAGCATGAGGACCGGCGGATAGGCGGGCGAGCATTGGAAGGGAGGGCCTTGATCTTGGGCTGGCCTAGATTTACACGTAGTCGAAGCCGATAGAGACGAGGCGCCGCCGTCGTGCCTCACCAATAGAGGAGCATGTTTTTGCCAGCAACAATTGCCGTGCAGCAAAATTGACGGAAACTGCGTGGGGTTCGAACGTCTCGAAGGTTCATCCGGATTCCGGAACTGAGGTTGTGTATCGTGTATCATGTGTGTTTCGGGTCGGGCGGCAGGCGTCGGGCGGTCGGCAAACCGCTGCCGTGGCATGGTTCTTGCTTGACGGCGACGACGAGGGGTCTGAGGTCTGAGCCAGCGAACCGGCGGTTATCGACGCCCAAGCCACATGCCTCAGCATCCTACAGGCAGCAGGAGGGAAATGCGACAGACAACAGACGCTATGAGGGATGCTTGATGCGGGTGGCGGTGGTGGGAGTTGAGCCCGGTCGATCGAGCTCCGTTCATCGCCGTCCGCGAGGTGGACGAGCGGGAGCCAGCGACCGCTTCAAGCCGAAGCGCCCTGTACCGAGCGCCATTTCAACTTGGCAAGCCATGCGCCGTTATTGACCTGCAGGCCGCCAAGGTGGGATACTTGTCCCATTAAACCTTGCTGGGATGGCGGCGTTGACGGGGGAAAAGGGCGGTGAATAAGGCCAAGGTACAAAATGCGCTTCGGACGGGATGGGGCGGGTTGACGCGCGCGCGGTTGGGCGCGCACTGGGGCGCTGGATCGGATCGGGGGGTTGATGAAGATTTGAAAAAGTCGCTGATGACGCGCGAGGGCGTCGATCGCCGGCGTGTCATCATCGTCCAAGCGAAGTGACATTAACACGCATGCTTGGCAGCTGGAGGGCTCGGATCAGGTATCCGGGGGCGCGGGCTCCACTCTTGCACGGCAGTGGGATGTGATCACTGATGGCGGCCGCACATGGACGCATGAAAAGCCAAGCCATCACATCGTGGTCGTCGCCGTCGTCGTCAGGCATCAATTACCTGCTCTTATGTGTCTATTTGATAATGGCCTGCTGGGGGAAGCATAGGAACCTTTTGCAGCTGCGGCGAGTGTTAGTTATCGGTCAACTGCAGTGACTGATCGGGGTTGGTGACGATGTGCCGGGGCTCGGGTCTCACATGAGGCACGCGTGGGCGCCTCCTGGCTCCAGCTTCCCGCCACCAGCAGGGCCCGGCCGGGGCTTCCAAGTTTGGAGCGGACCTGGGACGCTTCCATGTGCCTGGGCTGACGCCTGGAACCTGGAACCAATGACCACCAAAGCCTCGAGCCTCTGCCCAGCCAAATGGAACCCCACAACATGGAGCTGGAGCACACCTCCCGCCACCTGGAGCCCTGGAGCTTTCCGCCCAGGCGGGTGGGCGGGCACCAGCACCCGTTTTAGGCCCCGGCGTCAGCCCTCGAGGCCTGACGCAAGTCGCGGGACAGCGCTCATTCCAC